AAAAAAAAAAAAAAAAAAAAAAAAAAAAAAACAAGCAACCGTAGCTTACTCAAACAGTCGATGTAAAATCCCCTTTTTATGAATATATTCTCCAGAGCCTTGTTTAGATGAATTTTGGGGAGGGTTTGGATTGGCTTCTCCAAACTCTTCCAAACTCAAACTCCTCTTTACAAAAATGGGATTCAACATTCAATCTGGTTCATATCCATGTTTGGTATGCAACACATACACATGTAGGACTCACGGATATATCATAATTATTAACAACTATTTGTCTTGTAAATGATTATTTTACCGTTGATCAATGTAATTTATACTCATGTTAAGGTGTACAATTATTTTTTGAATCCTTAACCTCTTAACCATCTTTTTAAACTCACCCCTTCCTTAGGTTTAACAGAACTCATGATTATAGGTTTAATCTTCTGGCCAACTAGAGGTCGAGTATAAAAATCCTAGACTGAATTTTTCATACAAACATGAGATTTAGGGGAGTTTTGGACTTTCAAACCCATCTTGCCAAACCCCCCTACCTCCTTACAAAACAGCACTTGGAGCAAGTGACTTCTTTGAGAGTGGATTAGCCGAACTATTAAGTTGGTGAACCACTATAAATCCACTATGTGATAATCTCATCCCCTAATCTAACTTTCAAAGAGCCTAAAAGCTCAGACTAAGTCATTCATTGTCCATTGAATCTCTAACACTGCTGTGTCGTGCTTTAAGCATCATTAGTACCCAAAAAAATGGGATTCATTTTAATTAAGTGAGTTAAAATGGATTACAAATGGGTATTCATTGGATTGAGTATTTATCTTTCCATTAAGGGGCTTAAGGAGACTGGTTCTTTTTTTATAGACTTATTTGGACTTAAGTACACTTAAGAGATAAGTCCATTTTGATCTCTGTTGTCCAAAATACTCTCAATAGTTATATTTAATTGTAACTTATTTAAAAAACCTAACAACTCCTAAATTAGGAATTGTATTAGTATTAACAATATATATGTGTGTGTGTGTGTGTGTATAAATTTGTTAAGCGTACTACTACTTAATATTATTATTATTATTATTTTATATATATATATATATATAAACCCCCACATGTTTATCTTAATATAACAATATAATTATTTTTAAAATACTAATATATGTGATAATATATGCATGAACTACATGGATTGTTAAAAAAAAAAAAAAAAATGTTAGGCGAGATAATAAGGTATGAATTGGAAGTTAGGAAGTAGTCTGGAGTTCAAACACATTTTAGATAAAATTTAGGTAGAAAGGATTTTAGACACTACTTAGTATTTTGACCATAATTTTTTACCCTTATGTCTGTTTGAGCTAAAATTTTTACAGTAGATAGTAGACTTCTAGGGTTACAAAAGTGTATTTCACGAAAATGACGAGGTTTTATTGCATTACATTTTTGAATTGAAATTCAAACATATCTATCTCAATCTTGTGACAATTTCCCCTTAAAATCACATAAAGATAAACTTTGAAGGAGTAGGAAAGGCTACTCTAGGAATTCGGATTATGGTGGGATTATAAGAGATGTTGAGACCCGCTATTAATTCAATGAATATGATTTATTATGTCACCAAATAAAATTATTAAATTAGGTACAAATAATATTTTTTTAATATCCACAAACATAATTAACAAACTTCTGTGGGCCCCATTAAGAGATTTACCCAAGGGACGCCACTATAATTTCTCCCACTGCAAACTCGGAATTCAAAAAGTATTAACGACCATAAAAGGTGAGGTCAATTCTGTCGCACGCTTTACATTCTCTAAACCCTAATCATCTTTTTCTCGCACTAATTAAATTAAAAATTAATACAAATTAACGATGAATAATATAATACAATTTGTTAACAACATATAAAATTAAAGAATTTGAATTGTCTTAAAATCATCTGTTTCTTGAATAAGTGAATCCGATAAAACACACGATTTACACATGACATAAATCAAACATGCATTATTTGTTAGACAAAATGAATATATTATTTTTTTTATATAAGCTCGCTAAAACTCAATAGCTAGCGACCAAATGATTGACAAACCTATGTTTAACAATAGGAAACCAAACTCATCCAATATTTCATAGCAAGAAGAAACTATACACCGAAACCGAATTAAAAAGATCAAACCAATGATGAAACCAAATCATAGCAAGATCAAACCATAATAATCATGACAAAGGGTATATAATCTGGATCTCTATAAATATAAATAAATAAATAGAAAGCAATTGACGTAAAATTCTCCTATAAATCTCAATAAACAGAGTGAATGCTTACTCCATAAACAGGAAGATAAAATTAACGTGAGGCAATCTACACGATCAAAGCGATGGCCAAGAAATCAATGACGATTGATCCAATAGCGAGTCTGTTCAAAGCGGCGCTGTTCGGTGCAGGCGCGGGAACGAGATCAGATGGAGGCATCGCGATCGAAGGGGATGGAGGATTCACTGTAGCAGCGACACTGTTGGAGGAGACGGTGGAGAGACAGGAGAAGGAGCCGAAGATGATGACTAT